AGAGAGAGAGAGAGAGAGAGAGAGAGAGAGAGAGAGAGAGAGAGAGAGAGAGAGAGAGAGCGAGAGAGAGTTCAGTCAGTTGGAGTTTGGTTAAGAGTTGATGACTGAAAGTATGTCCTGACTTCAGCATGTCCTTATCATAGGAGGGTGATAGCATTTGCTAACTTGCTTGCTTAGCTGTCCTCATCAGGATTACGCACACACACACACAGACACACACAGACACACACAGACACACACAGACACACACAGACACACACAGACACACACAGACACACACAGACACACACAAAAGAAAGCATGACTGTGTCAGACTGTTTCGTCGGACTTTCACCAACTCATATGTGTGTGTGTGTGTGTGTGTGTGTGTGTTCTCATGTTCGTGAAATGCTAAAGCCAGGACACACAGACACACATATGAGTTGGTGAAAGTCTGACGAAACAGTCTGCCCCAGTCTGTCCTCATCAGGATTACGCAAAATCTTTGGAGGTGGTCGAGTCTTTGTGTTTACATAAACTGTGTATGATTGAAGTGCGTCATTAGAGCGTCATTAGAGATATCACATTTCTTTCCTGAATTCTTTTTCAAATGCTCTCCACGGGATGTGAAACATGAAATGTGTGCAGCACCTTCATGGACACTCCAACAAAAGTCATCATAAGAGTTTGTTTGACCAACGGATACTATAAGAGTTTGTTGAAATGCACCCATGAAATGCAGCCAAAGGGCTTATATAGCTAGATGGTCCTTTGGCTCAAGAGTCCTTTGCCAAAGGACTTATATAGTTAGATGAAATGTTGAAATGCACCCATGAAATGTTGAAATGCAGAGTCAAAAGACTCAAAATCGTTCGAATCTTTTTTTTTTTTTTTTTTTTTTTTTTTTTTTTTTTTTTTTAAATCCAGATATTGTGTAGATGAACTGTTGAACTTTTCGAATCCAGATATTGTGTAGATGAAGTAACATGAAACAGAAACAAAATCGTTTTCTCTGAATTACAAAATGCGGAGCCGGTCAGTTTTCAATGACGATATCTCATAATCTCAAGACCGTCGCTGTCTTCCTTGTTTTTTTTTTTTTTTTTTTTTTTTAAGGAAAGAATTTGTTTATCTTCGTCCCCTGTGCTCTCAGCGGCTTTCTGAATAAAAGAAGAGTTTTTTTTTTTTTACCGAAAAAAAAGAAGACTATGGATGAATGAACTTCAATGAAAAGCTATCCGTGCCAATTTTTGTCAGTAATCTGAGCTTTAAACCCTTTTTTTTTTTTTTTTTTCTTTTCTCTTTTATATCTTCATGCGTTTTTATTGTACATGCCCTTGAATATCTTCATGAAAATGGTCGATGAAAGGCCGACATCTTTTCTCTCTCTTATTAGAGGTATCTCAAGCAAACACTTGAGCGCAGTCGTTTTGTCTACATCTCTTTCTTTCTTCTTCTTTTAATCTGTTGAAGTTATAATATTATAATAATCTGATGAGGTTAATTTTAAGTACTGCAAAAAGAAAAGAAAAAAAGTTTTGAAATTTGAAGTTTAAAGATTGATTAGATTTGGTAATTACTAATTAGTGAGGTTAGTAGGGTGCAAGTTGTTGTCATTTCTTCCTTCTCTCCCTCCACACCAGTCAGCAGATGGTGATTGATTTCACATGTCATGACTCTGAATTTATCCTGCCATTGTCACAAAGGCCTTCTTCTTCCTCTTCTTCTTCTTCTTCTTCTTCTTCTTCTTCTTCTTCTTCCATTCCTCTTCTTCTTCTTCTTCTTCTTCTTCTTCTTCTTCTTCTTCTTCTTCTTCTTCTTCCATTCCTCTTCTCTTCTTCTTCTTCTTCTTCTTCTTCTTCTTCTTCTTCTTCTTCTTCTTCTTCTTTGTAAAAAAGGCCTTCCGATGACAATTTCTCCGTACAATAACAATGTGTATACGTATTACGTACTGTGAGAATTCCTCCTTGCCTAACTCTCACTCTCCCTTTCTTCTCTCTCTCGATGTGCCAGGAAGAAGATGCATTGGACATGGTCAGGAAGTTGCATTGGACATGGTCTCTGAGCAACAACAGGCGTTTGCAAATGGCGAGAGAGGTGGAGGAAGCGGTTCGAGTTTTTAATATATATTTTTAATCTTTCTGAGGAAGCAGTGGCACTGTAACTGCCTGGCCTTGTTGTAATTTTAAGGAAACGCAAATCAGCAGATTGAAGGGTTTGAACTGGCTGGGCTTCGTACGCTTTGCCCATCATGGGGTTGGGTGCGGGCCATCACACCTTCATACAGGCACTTATGAGGAAAGGGTTTTTGCCGGAAGAAGATGCATTGGACATGGTCAGGAAGTTGATCCACCGTTGCGGCTTAGGTGAGTATCCTAAGCTCATTGTTGTTTGTCTTCTGAAACGTTTTTGGCAGTACAGCTGCAGTACAGCTGCAGTACAGCTGCAGTACAGCTGCTGCTGTTTGTCACTGCCACCACTGCTGTCACGGTTGTTGTTGGTGGAATTCCACATGTTCACCCCTTGCCAGAGTGCAGGTGGAAGTGAAGATGCTCTGCTGATTATGAGAGGTTGTAGTGAAAGGGGGAAGGAGGACTTCAGAGAAGTTCCCTCCTCCTTTCGTCTGTGGATGTATGCGGACGTGGCGACCTTCTTCTACGTATGTATCGCTGTGTCCCACACCCGTGATTAATGATGACAAGTGTGCAGTTAGTCAGAGTCTGACAAGTCATGCTGAGTCAGCTCTGTGTGTGTCAGTCTTGCACTGCATTGCTTTGCTTTGCTCATTCTCCTTCGGTTAAGGGTTTAGGCTTCTGCGCCGTGCCCCTCTGATGCTCCTGGGCATGCCACAGTTTGGTATCGGAAGAGGGTTACTTTCGTATTTAGAGATGCTAATCGTCAATTAGTGATAACTAATCCTGCGAATAGCCGTAATTACGAGATCAATTAAGATCGTGCTTAATGATGCGATTAACCCAACTAGTTGAGTTAATCCCATTCCCTGAGCCGCCTAATTAGTCTGTTAATCAATCAATCAATCAATCAATCGATCAATCAATCAATCAATCAATCAATCAACTAATCTATTAATAGACTAATCAAGGCGCGATCTTTGATGAGCAGATCAGGTTGTCTCCTAGGTCCAAGGTGCGGTCTTTGATGAGCAGATACTAAATCGTGCGACGCCGTGACCTAGGATTATTTACTATCAAAATTGTGAGCTTAGTCCCTTTTCCCACCGATTTCACTGTCACTTTGACCGCAAGTTTCTCTCAATTTCTGATTTTTTTTTCCTGAAATGGGCCAAGTGCAGCTATAATGACCGGGCGTTCTATTCGGGTGAAGACGGTAATTCCGATTTCCTTTGAGACGATTGACAACGAATATTCTCTGGGATAGGAAATCTTTTCCAAGTCTGGAAATGTGACCGCTTCTTCTTTCCAATTGCTTCTTTCAATTCCAAAGTCGTGCGTTTTTTCGTTCCCTTTCTGCACTTGCTTTTGGTGTCCGTAAGTTTTGAGATTTGAGTCCGTAATTTCCCTGAACTTTCCCTGAGCCTCCTTCCCTGAAGTTGCAGCGCCTGTCAGCCTTTGCGATTAAAATTCCCTGATCCGTCTGTCTTATTTCAGTTGCAGTTCAACACAGATCAGTTTGTCAGTCGGATCAGTTGGAGTCGGATCAACAGGGAACCAGGAATGTGATACTTCAAATAAAATTTTGAATGTTTTTTTTGCAAGTCGGGTCCCCGGATGAATTTGTTTGACAGTGAAGTTCTTTTGTTGAGTAGACTACATCGGGGGATTGATGGATGAATTGCATTGGGGGTGGGGAAATGCTGTATGAATTTTGAACCTGCCTGATTGTATTCCCATCCCCACCCTCTTGTTGTTCTCTTGTCTGATCTGGGTCTGACGGCGTGGTAAGTGCCATGTCAGGAACACGTCAGCAGGGTTGTGCCATGTCAGGAGTGCCACATCAGCGACACATCAGCAGGGGTGTGCCATGTCCGCAGTGACACGGCAGCAGGGCAGGGGTGTGCCACATCAGCACTGCAAAGTCAGCAGTGGTGTGCCACGGCAGTGATACGTCAGCAGTCTGTGACACATCAGCATGACTAACCGCGGACTGGGTCTGCCTGGCCAGCTACAGTCTTCCCGCGAATACAACGTACAGTCATTATAGCTGAATTTATAGACCGAAAGAGACACCAAATTCGGCTACAATGACCGTACGTTGTATTCGGGGGAAGACTGTAGGCAATGAGACCCTGGCGGAGTTTCATCAGCAACTGCAGAAGCAGATGGCCAAAATTGAGGCTGCAGAAATCCGCGAGCTCGAGGCCAAGGAAGCACGCCTCAAGGCCGAAGCCGAGGCAGCTGCTGCACGGCAGCAGCAGCTGGCTGACGCTGATGCCGAAGTGCAGACACGATGGAAGGAAGCCCGTGCGTTGCTGTTGCGTCACGAGGCCTCCATTGTGGAGAAGCTCAAAGCTTGGCACTTCGAGCCCTCTGACGGACATGTCGAACCTACTTTGGAAGTGAAACACAAAGATTCTCTGTCCAAGCTCATCACGCAACTGGTTTACATGTGTAAGCAGCAGCAGCGTGAACTAGAGAACTTGTGGCAGGCAATGCAGGCCAGCAATACGCTACAGGAGGACACAGCAAAGGCTCTCAATGCCCGCGTGCGCGACTTGGAGAACACTGTCCCCCATGTAGCAAGTTGCAGCCAACAAGCACCGTCTGTCCGCCAATTGGAAGAACGAATTGATCGTGTGGTAGCCACCATTGGTGACATCAGCACGTTCACGGCGCCTGCAACCATCACCGAACAACTCAAGGCGTTGAAGGCCGGTGTGCGCACATTGCAGCAACAGCCAGCAGGCGCAGCAGCGCTCCATGGCCTTTCAAGATGCCGACGTTCAAGATCGAGAAGTTCGATGACTACCACAAGACCGATCCGGTCAGCTGGTGGCAGTCCTTCACCACGGAGATGGGGATCCACGACATCCCCGAGCAGCTCAAGATCTCAGCGCTCTACCTCAACACCACCGGGGCATGCCAAACATGGCTGAACCACATGGCGGCGACCAAGGGCTTCTGTGTGGCGGAATTACACACCAAGGTCACTTGGGCCACCATGGCGACCAAATGGAAGAAGCGGTTCATCATCGATGATGCACCGGCTCGAGCGTCACCACGGTGGTTGGAAAGGGCGCATCTTCGCCGATCTTCTTCTTCCTCACGCAGCCGACATCGACGCCCCTTGCACATGCGAAGCCCGCGCGAACATGCAAAAGGCTCAGGTCCGCATGCAGCAGCAAGCTAATCGACATCGCATGCCTTGTCCTATCTGCGAGGGTGACCTTGTTTGGGTCTCCTCCGAGGAGTTCGCACTCGAGAGAGACCTTTCTCGCAAACTCCTCCCTAAGTGGTTTGGACCTTGGCACGTTCAGTCCGCAGCTGGTGATCAGCCCGACGACCCAACCTTTGTGCTTGATATCCCTCCCCATCTGTCGGTCCACCCGGTCTTCTACGCCTCGAAGCTGGCTACCTACATTCCGGCCAAGAGCGACGACTTCCGAGGTAGATGATGGCAGGACCGTCCTTCTATGGATGGTCACCAGGAGGTTGATCGGGTCATCACCCGTTGTCACTACGGAAACAAGCCGACGGAGTACAAGGTCACGTTCAAGTACTGTGACTGCGACGACACACGTTGGATCTCTCAAGCAGACTTGCAGGCTTCTGCACCACTCATCTCGGCGGCTATGAGCGACAACAACCGGCCCAAGACGCTTTGCAGCAGCAGACTGCCCGTCCCACCAGGCCTCACTGATAGGCGCAGTCTTTCAAGGAGGTGGGGGGGGTGGTATGCACGGTGGCTCCCACACAGGCCCTGTTCCGGCTCGATGACAGTCAAGGGCATCAGGAGTAGCTTTGGGGGGTTCCTTTCTCGTTTATTTGGGGGCATCTGCATTTTATGTCTCAGATTTATTTATTCGTTCTCAGTCCCTTTGTCTGTTCTGAGTTGTGGTTGCCTTTTCGGAGTCTTTGTCTGAGTCGCAGATAGGTGGGCCAGGAGGACCCATGTATTTTTCCATAGGACCAGCAGCCACCCTTAGGCCTGCATTCAGACCACGTTTTCGGCCACGAGGCTGGACGAGTTTTCACTCCAGCATCCAGGACCGCTGATCGATGAGATAGATCGGACTGCCCTGGATCCTGGCCACCCCGGGACTGGTAGACCCAGCGCTACTTATAGCTGGGTCCAGCCTCAGGTGAGCTACACAGAGTTAGAGATTGAGGTCACTATGGTGTGGGGCAGCGCTCTCTTGATAGAGGGGTAGGATAGTAATAGGAGGACAGGAGGTTGAGGGCGGAGGCCAGCTACGAGGGACCTACCTGCAGTACTTACCTGGCGCCATAGCTTCATTTTTTCTTCAGGCGCGTCCCCACCTGCATCACAGCTCCAAGGTGACACCTTTACGCTGGTCAGAATCTGGCTCTGTTGCTGAGAGACATCCAGAGGAATTTTCTTCTCCTTCTTCTCCTCCTCCATCTCCATCGCTCTCCTTCCTCCTCCCTTCCTCCGATTCTTCTTCTTCTATGTGTTTCTGTGTGTGTGTGTGTGTGTGTGCTGTCTCTTATA